CCAGTGTCCCCGTACCCGCTGTACCACCCTGGGACCCCTCCCACTGTCCCTGTATCCCCACCCTGCTCCCCTGGGACCCCTCCCACCGTCTCCCCCCACCCTGCAGCCCAAAGACCCCACCCCCCACCCCTAACCAGGTGCGCACCCATCCTTGTGGGCCCCTGCAGCCCCTGCCTGCCAGCGATGGGATTCAGGGTGCTGATGGGTCACAGGGATCCTGCTCCGTGTGCTGGGACAGAGAAATGTGGTCCAAAAGCTTCCTCAGGGAGCAGCCCCCTGAGCTGCCCTTGCCTGTGGCCCGTGACACAAAAATGGGTTGATAGTCCAAAACTGCCCCGTGTCTAAGGGGCACAAGGGCTGTAACCCTGGCTGCTGCACCCCAGCTCTACCAGCTGCCTGCTTGGTTGCTCCTGCTGTGACATGGGCACCTCTGTGCTGTGACAATTCTCAGACTGGAGCAGGCAGTAYTGGCCCTTCCCTGCAGGCCAGAAAAACATTGCTGAGCTCGTTGTTCCATGGAGCCCCATGAGCAGCTTCCCAGGGCAGCCCTGAATGGCAGGATGTTGGTGACAGKCTGGTGTCACCTCCTTTTGTGCTCCTGTGCTCAGACACACTGATTTCCTCAGATATTAAACACCTGGCCTTTCCTGGTCGGGTGAACAAATTGCACCCATGTCCCAAGCGTTGCAGCACCAGGAAATCCCCCAGTCCGTGGTCCACCTTGGCTTGGAGGCAACTCATCYGCAGGTGAGGCTCCTCTCCTGACAAACCTGTTTCCCAGGCACTGCCCATCCTGCTGAGTGCCTGCCAGCGGCGTTTGCAATGAGAAACCATTACGCGAGATCCAAAGAGAGGAAAAAACGTGGGGAAGAAAAAGGGGGAAGGAACAGGTGAGGGCTCACTGCGGYGATGCCAGCTGGCGGGTGCTGCCGTGAGAGAGGATGAGGTGAACCACAAAAGTTCTCCTTTTCCCAGCTCACACTCAGAGAGACATGTGGGGCTACGCTTGAGGCACATTTTCCTGCAAGAAGGGAGGGCYCCTGGCCCTTCCCAGGAAAGCAGCRSAGCCACAGAGAGCCACTCTGGGTTTTCACCTGCTCCTTTGAGGCAGACAAGTGCAGCCAAGGCCACAACGGGGAATCCCGGGGAAATCCTTTCCGCTGACTCAGGCAGGAGGAAAAGGCTTTCCTGCTATTAAAAAASGAAAGTGTTGGTGAACATCCACCCACCCCAGCTCCAGCTCAGGATCAAGAAGCCAGGAGCCAGCGCTGCAGTGCTGGCGTGGGACTGTGGSTGAAGCAGTGGGACTGGCACAGCTGAACCCCACTTGTCTCTGGTGCCCATGAGCAAGGGGCAAATCCATTCTCACCCAGCACCCATGCCTGAGGTCAGGGAGCAGCCTCAGTCAGCCTGAAACCTTTCCAACCCCACAAAATGTGCCCAGCCACATGTTAAGCCCTAAAAACATTTATTATTTTTAAATGAAACACATCCATGGGTTGCTTTTGGTGGCTCCATCCCTGCTGCAATTTGGGAGCGCAGCCCTCCCTCCCCCTCCGCTTCCCTGCAAATCCTTTCTCTCTTCCCAAAGCACAATGTCGGATGGTTTTGATGGGTTCTCAGTTTGCAGCAGGCCGTTGCAGGGGTCCTCAGCAGCRTTGGGTACAACTGTCCTCCCCTCAAACTCCTAATTCCTGCTTCCAAAATGAACAGCCTTCAGCCACCCAGATCAACTTCGCTTCACTCCGTGGCAAAGCAAATCCAAAGAGCTCAGCTGTCAGGCGCCGCTGTCCTCACCAAATCACTCCACTGGCGATTCCCTCAGGGCTGCAGCTGAAAAGCAGCGTGAAATCCCAGCCAGCTGAGACGTCACTGCCTCTGCACAGCACGGTGGGGGTTGGCTGGCAGGGAGAGGCCGGGAGCCGGAGCCTCTCGCTCAGCCTCATGAAGGTTTGGATTAACAGATCGCCTTTTCCCATTGTTCCTGGTCAGGGTGGCCATTCCCCAGCGTGGCGGCCACTCCACAGACACAGGCGCACCCAGCTGGCAAGGCGACAGAGAAGGAGTAAGGAAGGGTGTGAAAGAGGTGCTTCCCACTGCTGGGCACAGCCCGGGGAAATCCCTGGGACAACACCATCGGCCACCGTGGGTCTCCATGGCTGCTTCCACCCCAGAGCGTGACCGAAGCGCCGAGCTCGGCTCTGCCGGCAGCTGCTGTGGGAAGATCGAGTTGCAGCCCTGGCCGGCTCTCCGGGATCTGAAGGTCACCTCGTAGCCGGCCTCCACCGCCAGAGAAAAGGGGTCTGTTCCCACCTGGTCGGGTGGCGAGGTTCAAGGACATGGTCCAGATGTCCCTGCCCATGCCCGGGACAGTGAGGAGGGTGTGAGCACACGGCCACTGCTGAACTGGGGAGAGCAAACACACGGCACTGGCTGAGAAAAATACTTGTCAGAAAAGGGACTGACTAATCCTGAAAAAAGTAATGGCCATAAATTGTTATTCCCAAGCGCAGGGAAGCGTAAGCATTGAAATAATCCAGTCTGAGCTGCAAAGCCGAGGGCAGGCAGTAAGTGGCAATGAGGAAGGTGCACATTCTTCCTCTCGGCCATCACCCACAAAAAGCCAGGTGCCATCAAACCACCCTTGCCCAGACCCTGCAACCCTGTGTGCCCCGATGTGGCCAGTGGGGTAGGCAGGATGGCACTGGGGGCTCTACTTTGGGCTGCTCTTTGCACTCCAGGGCCCCCGTGCCCATGCAGGCGCGGTGCCCGGTGCTGTCCCCACCCGCCACCACAAAAGGAGCTTTGTGCAGGGCCAGCCGGGCACGTCCCCAGCCTCCTCCCCGCTCCATGGTACCAGTCTCGCCCCACGCTGCCCGTCCTCTCACAGACCTGGGAGGAAGGCAGGGCCACACCAGGACAGGGTACAACCCCTGCCACCCCSCACCTCCTCCTTGTCCTTCCGCCTTCATCCTCAGCTCCTTTATCTTCCCCATGGTGGGTCACCTCCCCCCCACACCTCTAACCCCGCTGGGACTGACCCTTCCCTGAAGAAGGAGCGGGGTAGCCCAGGCTCTCTGGTGAGATTGCCCCACCTCCYGAAGAAGTACATCACCCTGCCAGATCTCCGAGCCCTTTTATTCACACAGCAGCCAGCAGCCATCACATTCAGTTGGCATGAGAACCATGGCCCAGGAAGCTGTGAAACATCCCAGAACTCCATAGGGTGAGCRATGTGCTTGGGGCTGTTAGATTCTCCCATGCCATTCCCAGCTCTAAAATAACCCCTGCAGGCACYAACCTCATTACAGAGGGGCTTCTGAATCACAGTTAAAAGATCCCCYTTCTGTTAAAAGATCCCCTCCATTACCATGTCTGAGCAGTTAAGAATTCCCCTCCTGATCGCATTCTTGCTCCCCCCCTCCCCAAAAAGCCCCCAAGCAGTTAGAGCAGAAATTTGATGAGCAACAGAYGAAAGCTGGGCACGAGAGCCCACGAGCAGGGGGCCAAGCTTTGTGCCTTGCAGCTGGGGGGCATGTCCAAGGCTCCTTTCACCAGGTGATGCTTTTCTGTCCCTTCCTCCTGCCCTGCATCTGCAAGAGCCCCAAGGCAGTTTCTGGCAGCCAAATTCCAAAGATAAGGGCAGTGCCACTGGTCACAGCCTCCAGGCCCAGGGACAAGCAGCAAAGCTGCTTCCCGGGGGATAATTCAGCTGCCCAGCAGGAAGAGCCCAAGAACCCCAGAAGATCCCTGCTCCCTCCAGGGGAGACTGCRGCCTRTGCCTCAGTTTCCCCACAGGGAGCAGCACCAAAAGCGCAGGGATTAATGACGTGGTCCCTCCCCTCTGTGTCCCCTCCTTCGCTGTCAGCCGCTCTTCGAGAGGCTGGACAAGGAACCCCAGCGGCACCCAAGACCCCCTGCCCCATGCTCGCTCTCAGGGGSTCTCGGCCAGGCCGGCGGCCGTGCCGGTGGCCGGACTAGGCTTGGAGAGCTGCCGCAGGTCCCGGGCGGACCTCACGGCCCACTGGGCCAGCTCGCGCAGCACGCCCAGGCCCCGCAGCTTCTGCTCGAAGATGCTGAGGCGCGGCGGGGGCGCCGGCCTGTCCTCCTCCTCCTCTCCCTCCTCCTCTTCCTCCTCCTCGCCGGGGACCCCGCGGCTCTCCAGCCGCAGCAGCTCCTCGAGGTGATAGGTGAAGGCCGAGACCTGGAGCAGGACGGACGCCAGCGCCCGGCCCAGGCCCGCGTCAGCCTCGCCCAGCTGCTCGCGCTGCTCCTCCAGCATCTGGGCCAGCAGGGCACGGAAGGCCCGGTAGGCCGCCAGGTTCTCCAGCAGCCGCTGCGTGCCCGTCTGCTCGTCCCAGCGCTCCACCGCCGCCAGCGGCACCCCCTCCACCGCCGCCACGCTGCTGTCCAAGCTGGAGACRTCCAAGCCCTGCCGCTCCACCTGCAGGGTGAGACCCGCCGGGGGTCAGCGGAGGAGGAAGAAACAGGGGGGACTCCCCAGCCCCGAGCCCCGCAGGTGTTGGGGCAGCACAAGCTGCCCAAGGCTCGCCCAGGTGTCAGTGAGCCCAGATCTGGCAGCACTCCATCCCCCAACCCTGCCACGGGACAGASTCCTCGCATCCCGACACAGCTGCCCGGATCCCACCAGCGCTCCCAGCCCCACGACAGCCAGAAGGAGCAGGGCAGACTCACGTAGGCATCCAGGAGGTCGATGACATCCACGCGCATCTTGCCGGCCAGGCGGATGCCACGGCTGCAGAGGTCRCGGCGCCGGAGGGCGGCCGAGGGGCTGTCTGCGGCCGCCATGGTCCGGGCAGCTGTCACGGCCACCAGGCTCCGGGCGCAGCACCCGCCCGGCCCGGCGAGGACAATCCCTTGCTGAGCTGGTGCATTCCAGCCGGGAGCTCCGCTCACACGTCCGCTGGCCTGGCTCTCCCCCTCTTCCGTGCCTGGGGCCTGGCACCACGCTGCAAATTCCCGCCTCTGGGATCAACAGCGACAGATTATTTCCCTAATTCCCCCACGCATCGCTACTCCAAGTGCCTCGCTCAGAGCTGTCTGGCCCGGCAGCAACAGGCTCCCAGCCCYGGCTGACCCACTCCTCCCTCCCCGCCACACAGTGAGATTAACAGCAARCTAATCCCTCGGCTCATTCCAGAACGCGGGAAACCACTGCCGGGAAGAGGTGAGCAAAGCCCGGACATTGCTCAACACCTCAGGCCGGGCAGCCGGCTGGGGCCTGAGCGAGACCGAGTGCCACTCGAGGGCAGCCCCCAGGCTGGAGACCCCATAGCAGCCCCAGGCCAAACTGCAACCCCAACCCCTGCAGAAGGATCTGTCCCACACACTTGTAACCCCCCTGTCCCAGCGGGGTCCTGCCCCAAAGAGGGGCTGCAGATAGGGGAAGATGTCCCAGCCACCCCAGGACAATGCCAGCCGGCCCACAGGTGAGCTGCACKCACCAAGACGAAAACAGCCCTTCGGGTGGGGTAGGTTTTTCCTCAGAATGTTTATTTTGGTTATGCATTACCCAGATTAAGAGGGGAAAAAAACCCAGGAGTTGAAAAGCAGCTTCCCACGAACAGCACAGTGTGCCTAGCCAGGGGTCCCAGGGCTGGGAGRTCCCCAGGTGCCCTGCAGCCTCCTTGCCACCCCCGTGCTACTGCAGAAGCTGTTGAGCTTGGGGTGCCCCTGGCCACAGCAGCCCCCAGCCCAATGGCCCAAGGCCCCCAGAAAGTGCTGCCCGTGCCAAAGGGCCCTGCACCCCCTCCAATCCCTCCCTGGGAGGACAGAAAAAAATAAATACAGGGAAAAAAAATACAAAAAAGTTTATTGCAAACTACTACAATAATTTATTGAAGCAAACTGCATGCGAGTGAAGGAGAGACATCGAGGGGAAGAGGAGCTGCAGGAGGGCTGTGTCAGTTTTAGGGCTTCAGAGGGGTGTGGGAAGGGYGCTACACATCTCTCCTGCATCAGGGGTGAGCAGGCTGTGGTTAGAGGACAGACAGGCACCTGGCCACGGCCAGAAAAAGAAAAGGGAGAGCTACAAGAGGGGTCATGGAAGGACGAGACAGGGAGCAGCGGGGATCAGAGGTGTCCAGGCCGGGCAACAAAGGAAATGTTGGATTTTGCATCCCAGAAGTACGGCCAGGGGCAAACCCTGCTCCACTGGGGCAGACACAGGATGAGGCAGCAGCCCCCAGCCCAGTGCCGAGGCCTGCGTCACCAGAGGTGAACGAGCTCTTGGCCCAAACGCATTCTAGTGCCATCCGTTGACCAACAAACCCCCAAGCTCTCCTTTATTTAGTGTTCTGTGCAAGGCTCTGCCCACCCCGCACCTCCCACGGGCGCAGGGACCAGCAGACAGGCAGCCGCAAAAGCACGGTGTTGAGAGGACACAAATGACCTGCCCTGAGGGCCAGGGGTCACCAAGTGTCCCTGGAGAGAAGCCCAGCACCGCTGGGAGGGCAAAACCATCAGAGCTGGGCGTGAACTGCTGCTCCTCTCCAGTCTGCAAGGGGAGGGGAGCGGCTGCCACCCAGAAAGGTTCCTGCTGGACACTGCAGTGAAGCGAGCCAAGCAAGACACTGCATCATTGAGGGAACTGGTTCACTTTAACACGTTCCACCACAGACCTGCAACCAGGTGTGCTGAGCCCTCACCCCAGCCAGGCTGCTGCCATGGCACCAGGACGTGGGATGCCCACACCCAGGGCACGGACACCCAACTGCTCAGCCTCGATCCGCCCTACACCACCAAGTGCTTCGACTTGCTCTGACAAAGGTATCGCTCTAAGGGGGGAGGGAGGGAGGGGGCAAACCAGGACAAACAGCCGGAGAAAAGCTGGCATGTTTGGGCCACAGCTGGATTTCCCGGCATCACAGGGGACAGTGTGTGTGTTCAGAGTCAGTTTCCTGTTAATCCAATTAAATTCCATGTTTTATTGCSGTTTTCCAGACCCCAGGTACCTGATTTCAACAAGCTGCTGTGTGCTACAGACTAACTCAGCTGACCTTGTGCTCGGACAAGATACTTCAGCTGTGCTCCCAACCCCAGAAACCCAACCAAAAAACAAGCAAACAAACAAAAAGCCAGGTTATTCTTCACCTCTTCCAAAACTGCTACGAATTCAAGGCCACTGAATCTCCACACAAAGTTTCAGAGAAGAGCAAAAAAAAAAAAAATCCAAGTCTCCATAGCAGACACATCTTATCCTATGTAAACTTTTCCAAGGGCTCAAAGCTGCCCTAACTACACCAGCAGGCAACACCTGACCCGCCACATTTCAGGGGAAGCTGGGGTGTCTGTGCAGAAGAGAGAAGCTTTGAGAACACGGCTACACAAGACCCTCCCCCAAAATGGGGACAGGGAGAGAAGCCCCTTAGTCCCATGTCARTCTATTGCCTTGGATAAACAAGCCTGAGAAAACCATATCCAGTCCCTGCTTCTGAGTCTGTCTAGACCTRGAAAGGAGAGGCAGAGTCAGATGAGGAGCACCACATCCCCCAGCAGCAAATAGCTCACGGCTGTCCCAAGTCACAAATTCCTGGCTAAACACGTCCTTCCCCAAAAGGCTGGAGGCAAAATGGGCATTTAATGCAAGGAGCTTACCCGGAGCTGGGAGGGAAGGAGGGAGAGACAGCCCATCACTCACCTCATCCTCCTGCTAACATGCAGCTGCAGAGATTCCCACTGCACACAGGCACTTCTCCAGGGGCTCTCCCTCTACTCTGGAAAAGCTGTGAGACACATCTGACTCCAGAGCGCTGCCTTCACCTCGGCTCTCCCAGCTGCYGGCACGATGGCACTGAGCTCCCTGCACTGGAGCCTACTGGGAAACAGCCTGAACCCCTTCCACCCCCGCCCCCTAAGAACAGAACTAAAAAATACCAACCCTTTTTTAAACAATAAATAAGGAATCTTGTTACCACAACACAAAAACGAAGCATGTTCAAAGTGCAAATTACTGTCGTCAAACTGGGATGCTCCTCCTTGCCTCTCCCACGCAGGGCTCCTGTAGCCCCCGGGCCTCTCCAARCAAACATGATCTACGAGCCAGGGCGTTCCCTCCCTCCGTTTCCTGCCAGGGCTGGAGCAGGGGAGTGCGGTGGGAGCGGGACGTGCACTGCCGCTTCACAGCTCACCCTGCCGAGGGGCTAAAGTGCCAAACTCCCAGCCCCGGCAGAAAGGAGACTGCAAGGACCAGAGTGCAGCGGTGCATAGAAGTCGGGACCAGGGGCAGAGGGAGTCCTAAGAAACTTCTCCAGAGCACGTCCAACACTTTTTAGTTTGCCAGTGGGGCCACGCCAAGGAGCCAGAAAGGCAACTGCTTTGGGGTAAGAGCAGAGGGTTTCGGCAGTGCCCCCTCCCTTGGAGAAATCCGCCGCTCAATCCAACTTGCTCTGGCAATGGCAGCACGCGCCCCTTTCCACAAAGGGGCCGTGGGAGAGAGAGAAGTGGTTGGGAGAAAGAGGATGTGCTGTGATCCGCGCTGGAGGGGAGCAGACCCTTCAGTTATTTACTAGTATTGTAAGTTTTGTTTAACTTTCCTCTCTTTCAGTAAGTGCCTCCTCCTTTTTTCTTTTCCTTTTCCTTTTAAATACAGAGTCCCAACTGTCCCAGCACCCAGGTGCTCCCCCACCACTAGGGTCCAGTGGAGTCTGAATCTTCGATGAGCACCTCCGTGCTGGCTCCCAGCATCTCTGTGTTCATGACCAGCCCCTCTGGGTTGGCGCTGCTGCCGCTGCCCACGAAGAGCTTGCCGTCAGCCACCAGGCTCACGCGCTCYGCCCCGCCGCAGTAGGGCTTTGGCATCCCCTCCGGGCTCAGCAGCAGGCAATCTGCTGGGGGAGTGCTGCCCAGGGGGTCAGGGAGCAGCGGGAGGCCCTGGCCATCCGTGGGTGGCACGATGGTCTCGGGATTAGTGCCCAGGATATCGGTGCTGGTGATCAGGGCACCCGCGTTGGCAGCCAGTGCTTCGGCAATGAGCACCTCGGGGTGGCTCTTGGCTTTGTGGGCCACGACGCTGTCCTTCTTCTCRAATTTCTTGCCACAAATATTGCAGGAGAACTGGTAGAAGGAGTCTGCATCGTGCTTCTTCATGTGCCAGTTGAGGGAAGCCTTCTGCCGGCAGGTGAACCCACAGATCTCGCACCTGGGAGGGGACAACAGCGAGGTCACAACAAAGGGACATCCACATGCATTCATGGGGACAACACCAGTAGTGAGGTGGCAGCCCAGGAGAACAGCAGGGGCTCGCCACTGCCACTGCAGCTCCAGCTCTGGCTTTATTTACTGAGGGCTTACATCCCCTAGATCTGCACTGAGACACTGCCCTGAGGAGCCGGTGACACAAGCGTGTGCTCAAAGAGAACCAGAACAGGGGGAACAGGCTCCAGCCCTGACTTCAGAACTCCTTTGAAATGGGTGTTTTGGGGTCCMTCAGAGCAGGAGGGTGAGGCACAGGCAGAGGTACTCACTGCAAAGGCTTCTCGCCCGTGTGGATCATGCGGTGCACCGCCAGGTTGTGGGAGCTCTTGAAGGCTCGGGCACAGTACTCGCAGATGTAATCCCTTTGATCTGAAAGACAACAGCAGTTGCAGCATTGCCCTCCCACAGACCTGCTCCCTTTCCCAACTCTCAGGTGGTGCAGGTAAAGCTGCCCAAGAAGGAGCAGAACTACGAGTTCTGGGAGGCACAGCAAAGGAGGAGGTGTCCCACAACACACTGCAGCCGCTGATCTGGAGAGGCAAAGCATGATTAACACTCTCCTAAGAGCTAATTATCCACTCAGTCCAATACTGAAAGACTGGCAAATTGGGATAAATCAGACTTTATCTGTAGAGGTTTATTCGTCTACAGAGCCCTGAGTGATGCTTGCCAGAAGGAGAATTAAAACCTCTATAGTCTTATTTCTTTCATTTCCTTGAAAGATGATAATCCAGAAGACGGTAATACCCTGCTGCTGCTGCAAATCTATGCCACCTGACTTGGCTTCGCTCTCCCCAGAAGTCCCAAAGGCTTTTCCATTTTCCTCGTCTGTTCACTGACCTGAGAAGGAGTTTGTATCTATTTCCCTTCCCCCTGTACCTGTGTGATGTTTGGCATGCCGCAGGAGCTGCTTCTGRAGCCGGAAGAGCCGACCGCAGGAGGGATGAGGACATACATATTTTTTCTTCAGTAAGTGCTGATACTTTATGTGATGCTGGAAAAAAAGAGTGAAAGTTTACAGACTCTTTCCATGGCCGAGTRAACAGCTGGGGTCCACTCAAGTTTAGACCTCCAATAGAAAATAAAACACACKTGGACTTCCAGCAACCTGACAGACACTCACAAACACAGGTACAACTGGCCACAATTAAGTCTTCCAAAAAGACAGCATCAGGAAAGAGTGCCAGGAGAGGCTTAGCTTCCTGTTCCAAGCAGCCYTTCCCTGCCCTCCCAGGGGCCACTGAGGAAGTGAAGCCCTGCACCAACCTGCAGGTACCGCGGGTGAGCSAGGACCGTGCCGCAGCCTTCCATCTCACAGCGGACGTACTGGATCGGAGGCTTCTTCCTGGGAAATCAGCAAGGAGAGGGGCAGAGTGCTTGGCTGCTTCTATGATCAGGTGATTCTATAGATAAAGATTCTACACATATTCTATTTAGAATCACAGTTCTCTGTGTCTGTGAGGGGCTGATGCCTCTGATGCCACAAACAAGTGCAAGCACAGCAAAGAACTATTGCTCCAAAACCCTGGCCTGGGCTGTGACAGAGTTGCTGGGCAAGAGCTACCTCCTCTCCTGCCACTACTTGAGGGCTCTCCCTAGARGTGGGAAAATCTCAGCAGATCCAGAATTCCCAGAACCTTATTGCTGGGCAATGCCACAGGAGGGATCAACTGAGAAGTGGGGAGGGGCCTGGTTCAGTTGGAAGAAATCAAAGCCACACCTACAGGGAGAAGGAAAAAAGGGAACACACAGCATGCTGCTATTTTTGTTTTTTATTCCCTTTAAGGCAGAAAGAGATGGCTTTGGGACAATCTACATCTGCATGTAGGATACAAGGGAAGCAAGTCTGCAAAACAGAACTGGGTTGAGAGGACCCCTTACCTTCTCTTGGGCAGCCTTGGGCTCTTGTCATCCTTTCTCCTCCTTCCCCTCCTGTAACAGGAACACAGAAACAGAACTGAGAGAAGCCTCTTTACCTAGCAGTGGGCAGAGACTTTGAAGTGTGTGCTGTATTGCCTCATTAACTGCASGATCTAGAAAAAATGCCCGAGTGCAAGCTGGAGACAGATTCAGAGRAAGGAGAATTCTAGAGAAATAAATRTTTCACGTGGTTTGCTCTCTCAACCCTTCCCATTTCCTAATGCATTTTTCATAAACATGTTGTTTTGCCAACACAGTCCAGAACCAACAGTGCAACCTATTTCCTCTGCTCTGTTGGGGAACATTCCACATCATGGGAAAACATCCATCTGCCTGATCAGGAAGAATAGGATTAATGATCCAGCAGCTATTTTACAGGCCTCTGGATTAGCCACAGCAGCTTCTGTACCTGTCAAGACAAAAATCTAGGCTCTATCTGAGCAGAMCTGTGCTCACACGTAAACTGCAGCCTCCCAAGCCACAGCTCTGCCTGTCCAATCCCACTGCTGCAGAGATACTTGGAGTAGATTGATGGAAGCATTTTCTAGACTCTACTGAGACACCCTTATTGATGGCAAGCCAGGAACATGCTGAACACACATTCGGCATTCAAGCCAAGCCCTCACAAGAGCCACAGGTTTTATTACGCATAAAACGTAGTGTCTGATTCAAACAACAAAACCTCGAGCCTCAGTAAGCAGGCTCCAACAGACAAAAATGTTCTCAAAATATCAGCCTCCACACTCCTCTCCACTGTGAATCAGCAGCAACTCAGGAACAGCAAGAGAAATGACACCAKCGGTATGCAGCAGGTCAGCAGAGGGAGCCCGGGCTGCTCCAACCGCTCAGGGAGGAGCTGAGGTACAAAACCAGCTCCTTTTTCTTTTTTTCCCCCTCACATTATATCCCAAAGAATGGCTTTGACACAGTCACACAAAGCAAGCCCCCTCTGTTAACAGGAAGAAAGCCTCAGCCAGGAGTTCCAGTGACAGCACACCTGAAGGTGTCGAGCCACTGGCACCTGAGTGGGTGAAGTAAGTTTGTTGTTTAATTCTCCACAATGAGGGTAAAACAGCTGATTTTCCTGAGCTCTGCTATAGTCCCAGATGTCCACAAAGGACACTTAACACACACACAAGGTATTCCAGTGACAAGATATGCCAGTCTCTGCCCCATCAGGAACACTGCCCTCTCACACTGGCTTTCAGGATCCTCTTGAGACACCACAACAGAATCTATTGTAAGGACACCCTGAAGTATTTCTTACTGTGTGGTCACACCCAGCCAAGCTGACTAACCACAGCATGATGAAAACCCCTTCACTTGGGTTAAACTGATTTTTTGTGGCTGAACACAGACAAGACATGAGGGTGCAGAACAAACAGTGCTGCCCTGACAGCTCCCAAGCCCAGAAGAGGAGGAAGAGGAGGAGGAGGAGGAGGAGGAGGAGGGGAAGGAACCAATTAAACACTGTTGTACACCAGCAAGAATGCAAAACACACAGCGCACAGTGCCATGTGTGACTGCAGAGTTTACTCACTTCCTTGGTGGTTCTTCATCCTCCTGAAACTCATTCTCTTCTTTCACTTC